GCTGGCTGGGGCATTCTGGGAGTTGAAGTCCTCCAGGCTTAAAGTTGCCAAGGTTGGAGACCCCTGCATAAAACAATGTGCAGAAGAAACAAACTCAAGAAGTTCCAGACAACCTATTGGACAGCATAAAGTAATAATAAAACAATTATTAGCATTTCCTGAAGTTCCTGTGTTGGTCATACTTTTGTTATATTTGTCTGTGTTATTTCAGAAACCTACTTGGGGTCTGAATAAAAATATATAATATTGCTTCCTTCTTTATTCTCATGGATATCAAGAATACACATATAAAACATGGAATTCTTGGGAGCAGACTTTTCAAGGGCTATGACAAAAGCACTTTCTTTTTTTACATATGTCCAAGTGATGGGGCTTTGATTCCATGGGTTACATCCACCTTCCTGACTTTTTAACATCCCTTTCCTGAAGACATTTTTGATCTAGAATGTTAAAATAAAATGTCTGACCTTTGAGTAACGCTGCCATATTTGGTGATTTGGAATAACTTTCTTAATGCAATTTCTTACAGCAATATAGAGGCTCCAACTTTAATCTTTATACAAATTCTGTCTTGTTATATATGTACCTTATAGCTATACTGCTAGGGAGATTTTGAAAAATCTCATCAATCTGCTTCTTTTAAATGTTTATAATTAGGAGTATTTGGTTATGAAGGTGCTCTTATAAAGTAAGAATGACTAGCTTTCAGTTCTCCTAATTTTCAGCAATTTAAAAAGAAAAGGTGAATAATTAGTCCAGACAATAATTTGGATAAATGCCGTTAATAATTCAAAATGTGATCCATGCTCATTTTTGATATTGAATGCACTGGACTGCATCAGATAGGGTAAAAATGAATGTGCTTTTTATTTGATTAATACTTTTTCATCTGTTCTTGCAAGGGAAAGAAACCTCTTTTCTCCCTGTAATGATTAACTACACATAATGAAGTACAAGTTCTAGTTTTCCATATGAAGATTGATCAAGTCACTAGACTGAATCCCAATTTAATTTTAAGAGACATTTGAATTAACTGTACATAAGCATTTTCTTTCAGGATTGATAATAACTTTTTAGAATCTTTGAGGATAAAGGTTTCAGCAGCTCCAATTGTGACATCTAATATAGGCAATTTTCAGCTGTGCTTATTACTTTATGCAATAATTTGCATAAATGAATGCCACTTATGCTTAGGTTGATTACAGAAACTTGCACTAGTACAGTTTGCAATTTGCTTTACAACTCAGTAACAGAACCTCTCTTGTTTATAATTGCTAATTTGAATCCTGACGTAAGACATTTTAGTCTACTGCTTGTAAAGAAGGGGGAAGTTAGGGGGAAGGGGAAGACGGAAAAGGGAAGGGAGAAGGGAAGCTCTTTGGTACTTATGAAGTTACACCTGTCTAAGTTCCTCTGGTGAGAACAGGGAGTCATAATAGGGGTGGAGGATTTGAAGGAAGGGGAGGGTCTGGTGGTTTGTGGGGAAGAATGCTGATTACTGGTCAGAAGCATCTGGGTGCTGACAGACTACTAGATGACTGAGTATACCAGTGTATTTATTGAGATCCTTAGTCTGGGAAATGAGTCTGTAAGAGTTGCGGGAAAATAATATATTTGGGAGAGATAAGGTGGCAGGCAGGCAGGAAGGTTGTGGTGATAATGGACAATACAAAGTGTAGTGGGAATCATGGGGCAGTTTGCTTATGGGAAAGGTAGTCCTGGTATTTCTTTGATTGATTGGAGTTATGGAGCTGCTCAATTCAACCACCATGACTCTGGGCGGTGAACCACAAACAAAAAATGAGGTGGCTCTACTCAACTGAATCTGAAACACCTGGAGGAAAAGCCAGGTCCAACAGTTTTTCTAAATCCAAGAACAGCATGGCTTTATTGGTCTTATATTAGTACTGTGTACAGTGCCCGGTCATTGATCCTTAGATCAGATTTGTGGCTACAGCTGCTTAATATCAGTCATAATATTAAGCTTATTATAGATGACTGACATTAAACTCACCCAGGACTGGCTTCTGGATACAATTCAATGTGCTGGTTATCATCCAAAAGGCTTCATACAGCATCAGATTGGGTTATGTAAACTACACCTTTTAGAAGATCATATGCACATCCCAGTTGCTTTAACAGAATAGGCATGTTTTGGGTTACTTCTTTGGAACAGTGTCATCTGAGGGGTCCTGTACTTTTCTATAGTAGCACCTGCCCTTTGAAAAGATAATGGCCTTGATGTTCAACCTATTATTGATTATTGATGACTGATTTTATATTGGATTGTCTTTCTTGTAAGCGTCCCCAGAGTATCATTTTCCAAGTTAGGCAGCCTCATATTTTTTTTAAAGGTAAACCAATAAACCAACTGCTCTGTAGTGTTGCTATGGTCTGAAGCCAATTTGAACCTTTCTCTAAGTCCTAAGATTGTCAGGCAGAGGTTGCATCTGTGTGTCACAGTCAGGTTAGAAACTTCCAAATGTTCAGCCAGATCTACTAGACTTCTGAAAGCAACAACTCAAGATAGATTTCATGGCCCAAATAAATCTTTGCTTTTATTGCTGTACTAACTTAATGGGTGTCTAGTGAGGTTGCTGATAGATGAAAAAGTGAGGAAAGCAATTGGCTTAGTGATAATAGTATGACAAATTGTCTGGGCAGAAAAAAAGCAGAAAACAAAAAAGGTTTTTTTTTTAAAGTTATATCTGAACATCCAGTGTTAGTTGGATTAATTAGGTTTTCTTCAATAAATCACTCTTGTTTGTACAGTTCATTGTGCTCTGACATATTGAGAGTGGAGGAGGATTCCAAACTGTGCCCTAGGTTATTTTTCAACACATTGCTTCTTTCTGTTTCTTAAGCAAGTTTCAGACATTTCAGTTGAGGTTGCACTGGGTATTTCAGATTTGTCATCACTTTTCTCCCTGTCTACAAAGAGAAATTTCAAAAATAAATACATTGCAAAAGAATGAATGTCTCTCTTTATTTGTTCTCTTTATTGTCCTTAAGACAGAAGGCATCTAAGTATTTCTTAGATACTCTTTTGAAATATAGTTGTTTTAAAAGCATGGAATCTGGAAGATACAGTGACTAACGAAATCTTATCTGGGTTCCACTATTATCATTTGTTTATTCTGATCTCTCAGTCTTCAAAACCCTTTTTTTTGTCCAATTAGTGTATTTAGGTGGCTCATATATAGTTGACCAAATGTAAACACAAGTTTGTGCTTGACAAGAATATAAGTTTCAAAAGTATATATTCAGCTTGTGTAGTTGTATTTATGCTGTTTAGATTTTTGCACTTACTTGTATCTTGTTACCTTCCCTCTGTGTTTTATTATCCTTCCTGTGACTCGAATTAGTGAAATGAATCCTTAGAGCCTAATTAAGTTGCAATAAACTGTTGTTCTCATCCCTTCTTCCCTCTTGTTCCTTTGAAATGGGCACACAAGAAAAAGAGATTGCTAGGAGGACAAATTCCAGCCCAATTTAAAGGAATATGTAAAAAAGGTGCAGCAGCTTATGCATTAGGCTGCCAAAATAACAACCTGGGTAGCTTCATGACTTGCATTTAATATATCATCATTCATGAATTTATAATAAAAATACAAAATAATTTACCTAGTTATTTTAAAAAGCAGCGCTATGTATGATGAATGTATTTGTCTAAACAGACAGACAAATAGATTTCAAGATTGGCGCTTTGAAGCATAGGGCAAACCATTTTCCTCTTCCTCCTTTTACTTCTTTTATCACTTTAAAAATGTCCAATCCATGGTTTGTTTTTTATTTTCACCAGGGATAGGCATAAAGTCTGTTGAGCAAGATCTGGGAAAATAGTTCAAGTAGAATTCAGAAGATTTAAAAGCAGTTTTATGACATAAGCTATTAATACTCTTAA